TCCATATGTGGTTTACTGTATGGTATGTGTTTACTATGTCCATCAGTGGTTTACTGTATGCTATGTGTTTCCTGTGTCCATCAGTGGTTTACTGAATGCTATGTGTTTATTATGTCCACCAGTGGTTTACTGTATGCTATGTGTTTACTATGTCCATATGTGGTTTACTGTATGCTATGTGTTTACTATGTCCATATGTGGTTTACTGTATGCTATATGTTTACTATGTCCATCAGCGTTGTCTCACTGTTTGATTTCTTGATTTAGAAACTAGTACAGGCCTCTTAGTCAATCTTTGCCCTGCAGTCCACAGGAGCACAGAAATAAAGGATGACCAAAAATACAAGGAGAAGGAAGCTAGAGAGTCAAGTTACAAAGATGGGCAGGACATGGGGAGAGCTGCAGGCGATACCGACGGATAGAACGACTTGGCGTGAGGACATGGGGAGAGCTGCAGGCGATACCGACGGATAGAACGACTTGGCCTGAGGACATGGGGAGAGCTGCAGGCGATACCGACGGATAGAACGACTTGGCGTGAGGACATGGGGAGAGCTGCAGGCGATACCGACGGATAGAACGACTTGGCGTGAGGACATGGGGAGAGCTGCAGGCGATACCGACGGATAGAACGACTTGGCGTGAGGACATGGGGAGAGCTGCAGGCGATACCGACGGATAGAACGACTTGGCTTGAGGACATGGCGAGAGCTGCAGGCGATACCGACGGATAGAACGACTTGGCGTGAGGACATGGGGAGAGCTGCAGGCGATACCGACGGATAGAACGACTTGGCGTGAGGACATGGGGAGAGCTGCAGGCGATACCGACGGATAGAACGACTTGGCGTGAGGACATGGGGAGAGCTGCAGGCGATACCGACGGATAGAACGACTTGGCGTGAGGACATGGGGAGAGCTGCAGGCGATACCGACGGATAGAACGACTTGGCGTGAGGACATGGGGAGAGCTGCAGGCGATACCGACGGATAGAACGACTTGGCGTGAGGACATGGGGAGAGCTGCAGGCGATACCGACGGATAGAACGACTTGGCGTGAGGACATGGGGAGAGCTGCAGGCGATACCGACGGATAGAACGACTTGGCCTGAGTCGGTTGAGGGCCAATTTTCCATTGGGGGTTAGAAATGAAGAAGAAGAAGATAACCACCGCCCATCCCAGGATCTGGTTGAAAGAGGCAAGAATCTTTTTTTTTTTTTTTTTGTTGTGTTTTTTGTTTGTTTTTTGTTTTACGAATAATAATTACCGATAGGCTTGCTATGAAAATGAGCCAACATCCGGTGTGTGTTGATATTCTTTCAGGTGAACTTTTGGAAAGTAATGTCAGCATCAATGTGACTGCCTTAATCTCCAAGCACATACTTCTTCTTCTTCTTCTTCTTCTCTTCCACCTTGTACCTCATCGAAGTGTCGGGGGGAGATGTAATGTTCGTTGATGAGCTCTGTCAAGAGCACTATTAAGACTGATGTTCATTTCTGTAAGGCTGTTCTTAATGCCATCACTCCATCTTTTCCGAGGTCTTCCACTCGCTTTATACCCGTTGTAACGTTTTAGTGTGGCTCGCTGTGGCAGATAGTACCAGGGCATTCTTGTTAGGTGTCCAAACCATTTCATTTGTTGTTCTTTGATGACCTGTAAGACTGGCTTTATTCCTAGCATTCGTCTGATTTCATGATTTTGTATTCTGTCTTTCCTTGAAACTCCTGCAGCTCTTCTAAGGCATTTCATCTCTGTTGTCACAATTTTACGTTCATTGGAGGATGTAAGTGTCCACGTTTGGCACTGATAGCATAGTATTGGCCAAAAAATAGTTCTGATAAGATTCACTTTAGTACTCTGAGGTATCTGCTTGTGTGTCAACAGGGGAGATAGTTGGCCCATTACTTGATTAGCTTTGGCACATCTGGAGCTAATTTCTCTGTCCAGTTTTCCGTCTGAAGTAAAAATTGCTCCCAAATACTTAAATTCCTCTGTTTTGTCTCAGGGTGTTGTTTTTTAATTTAATTTCTAAATTGTCTTTATGTCTTCCTATCATCATTGTCTCTGTCTTCGTAGTGTTTATTTTCATATTATATTCCTCCCCTTTGTTACTAATTTGATTTAGGTGGTTCTGTAGGCATTCCATATTTTCTGCTATGAGTACCTGGTCGTCGGCGAAAAGTAATTCTGTTATATCTTCTTCCTGATTAAAGTCTGTTTCGCTACATATGGCGTCCATGTATGTTATGAAAAGAAGCGGCGATAGTACACAGCCCTGACGCACACCAGAGTTCACTATAAAAGTTCTAGACAACCCTGCCTTTGATCTTATGCAGCATTCACTACGTGTGTACAGGCTTTTGCAAATATTAATGAGATGATTGCTGATTCCTTTTTTCCCCAAACATTCCCACAACATATTCCTGTCGACTCTATCGAAGGCTTTTTCTTGGTCTATGAATGTCAACAAACATGTCTTATCATGTTCTATTGCCCTCTCTGATAGTTGTCTCAATGTATAAATGGCATCTGTGCAACTTCTGTTTCGTCGAAAGCCCATCTGTGCTTCTGAAAGTTGATACTCTATCAATGGTCTCAGCCTTTTTTCGATGATCTTAGCATACATTTTCCCAGTGTGACTGAGAAGTGATATTCCTCTGTAATTAGTACATTCCCTCTTACTTCCTTTATTTTTCCACAGCGGGACAATGACAGCAGTTTGCCAATCTGATGGTGTTTCTTGATTTTCCCATGCCACCTGAAATATTCTCTTTAACCATATTGCTCCCGTTTCTCCTGCTGCCTTGATGGCCTCAGCTGGTAGATCATCAATACCTGTCGCCTTTAGTCTAGGCGCGGTTCGAATGGCATATTTTACCTCATCCAATAATATACCTGGTTCTAGTTCCTCTGCTGTTAGTTCCGAGTTGTTTTTATGTTCTTCCCTGCTTTTATCTGTTTTATTGCAGCTAAGTAATGCTTCAAAGTAATTACTCCACCTTGCTAAGATTTTAGTAGGTTCTATTAAAGGTTGGCCAACTTCATCATTTATAATTTCTGTTGGGTTGTATTCTACATTCCTGTTTCTCATGCCTTTGATTTTTTTGTAGTAGTTTTTCACTGCTGATCTTTCTTCTTCAGCCAGCTTGCTTCCAAACTTTTCCCATGAATCTCTTTTTGCTTTTCTGATAGTTCTATTTACTTCTCTTCTAATTTTCCTGTATGTTATGTAATCCTCTTCTGTTCTGCTCCTCAACCAAATGCCATAAGCTTTCTTTTTACTGCTCACAATACTTCTTATTTCTTCAGACCACCATGTTGAGAGCTTACGCCCTATGTTACCTTTCCTTTTAGTTCCACATATTTCTTGTGCTATTTTCATAGTGGTGTCTCTGAAATTCAACCATTCTGTATTTACCCTAAGAGTGTTTTGTGGAAGCTGTTCATAATTTTCCTGTAATTTTTGCTGAAACGCTCGCCTGTTTTCTTCAAACTCTAGTTCTTTCCATTTTATTATGTCACTTTTATTACATTTCTTTTTGGTTTGATAACTTATCTTGATTTTTCTGTCAAGGATCACCATCCTATGATCTGTATCTAAACTCAAGTTTGGTATAACTCTTGCATCTGTAACTTGATGAAAGTCTCTTTTTCTCGTCAAGATGTAATCAATCTGACTCTTGGTATCTGGATCATTCCATTTATACCATGTAAAAACTTGTGAAGCTCTATGTTGAAAAAAGGTGTTGGTAATAACAAGGTCATGTTGTGTACATATATCCAACAGTCTTTCGCCATTTTCATTTTTAATGCTGTTGTCTCCATAATTGCCTAGGTATCTTGTGAATGTTCTTCTGTCTCGTCCTGTCTTACCGTTAAAATCACCCATCACGATCAGTTTCTCGTTATTATCTATCTTACAAATTTCATCATCCAGGTTCTCAAAGAAATAATCTAAATCCTCTTCACTGTAATTTCCATTGCACGGAGCATATATCTGAAAAAACACCTCCGAACTATTTCCTACTTGTAATTTCAAACTTATAATTCTTTCCGAGATGTAGTTAACTTCAAGTATATTTTTTGCAGTTTCGGGATCGATGACAAATCCCACTCCATGCTAGACGTACTAGACGTTTTTATTCTGGGATTCTCTATATGGAATTCTAATGCCATAGAAGCTCCTGCCTTCTCTGAATTACTGGACGCTTTCCCGTGAACGTGTGCTCCACGTCCCATGTTCAAGAATCATTTCTGCAGTGCAACATTTCTGTACACCTTCCGTCGTAGTTTAATTTCCACTATGTAATTTCGACTTTTATTTTAAACGGTTATATCTAATCTGGATTATTTGTGCAAGCATTGAACACCTTGCTGGTGTTGTCACAAATGTTTGTTTACACCCATCACGGCATCGCGAAAACGCTCATGTTTTACACGAGATTACTGCGCCAAAAGTGCACTAATTTTGATCTACTTCCGCCCCCCACCCCCAAATATATATTTCTCACATGTCTAAAACCAGCATATTAGTTCGGTATTTCCATACATTTCTGAAAGATGACTGAAACACTCCCACAAGAACAAGAGCAGGGTGCCATTAAGTAACTATGGCTCATGTTCAGTACAATAATTTCTAAATATGTTATCAATAATCTCACGTGTCCTTCTATCTTTCTACTTCTTTCCATCTAGACGGATCAATACATGTTTATTTGTTTATAAAAAATCGGATCTGCATTTTCCGAGACAGTTGACAACCAGTATAAACGGTGTACCGTTATTTGTGGGCCCGGGTTGGGGGGGGGGGGGTGGATACGAGAATTTTAGAGACTAGCAGTTTTCTCAATATTGTAATTTCCTTCTAACACTGAACAAAACACAAACACACAGACACTCACACACAGACAGACGGAAACACACACACATACACATACACACACACAGCCACACAGGCATACACACACAAACAGATAGACACACTGACACACACTTACCCCGGTGTCTGTTTGTTGTCTTGTCAAACATCAACATACCGTCCTCAATCTGAAAGGACACAGGAAACAAACTATTTCCAACAAGCCTCTTTGTTGTGTGTCCCAGGCGATATTCTTCTTCTTCTCTTTCTTCTTCTTCTGAAACAGATGATCATGTTCCGAGGAGAATGGCGCTGCTAGGAGTTACCAGAGGATCTGGCAGACGCTCAACGCTGAACGCAAGGGCGAGACGGATATACAATCAGACAGTTACTGGTGCCAACGAAATTGGAACTCTTGGTTTGCTGCTGAAGATGGAAACAAAGCGCTTAGTCTTGCTCCAGCATTTGAGTGTTGCGTGTACATCCGCTCCACAGATCTGGCTGATTTGTATGCAGACCGGTGGTCCTTGCTCTCAGGCAGATGCACTCCGACTTTGAAAGGTATTCCTAATTAGTCGACTCCTACGACATGCTTGCTGGGTAGGCAGAGGGTCTATTGTTGTTTTTTTTTTTTTTGGGGGGCCCCGAAACCCACACGGGGATCCCGGGATATTGTTTCTCAACATCCATCAGTAGGTCCTTTACAGAACATCGCTCTCTTTCCGGCACGCCTGAATGACGCTTTTTCTCTAGCCATTTCTCCAGCCCTGTGTGCTTTCACAGCTAACGCAACTCAGTTACTGGTGTCCATCTTCGCCGAGGTCTGCCTCTGCCTCTGCATGGTTTTACAGAAACGTATCCTCCATCAGCCTCACCAGATAACCATGACGTTTGACGTGGCCAAACACCCTCAACTTTCGGGACAGGATCTGTTAATGAGCCAGCTCTCTTCTATGTTCACACGTTGAAGGATATCGCTGTTGTTCATCTTCTTGATATTATTATTATTGTTATTATTATTATTATTATTATTATTAGTAGTAGTAGTAGTAATAGTAGTAGCAGCAGCAGTAGTAGCAGCAGCAGCAGGAGTAGTAGTAGTAACATCAGTAGCAGTATCAGTAGTCGCAACAGCAGCAGCAGTAGTAGCAGTGCAGCAGAATTAGTAGTAGTAGTTTGTGTAAAGTAGTAATGCTGACCTTGCCGTACTGGGAGAAGTACTTCTTGCAGTCTTCAATCGTTGTCGTCGATGACAGACCTCCAATAAAGATCTTCTTTGTTTTGGTCACCAT